TGCACTTGCTTTCACTATTTACTTGTGTGAAAAATATTTCAGCTTCTTGCATTGAAGACACTGCTTTCCTAATCCTTTTCTTTCTCCTGTGTGATGCCCTACACAGTATTTTCTTCCTGCCCTGTGTCTGTGATTTATCTTCCCTTTGGGTTTGGAGTATCTGTCAGCATATTGCTAGTTTGAGTCTGTTCTGCTATGAGTATAATCTAGGTTTAATTTATAATCACAAATGCTACTGCAATTGTCAAATGCTTTCCTCAGGGAAAACATTTCTCCTCTCTTGGTGGATCTGCTCTCACTGCAGGATCTCTTATGCCTTATCAAATTTGTCTTTAATTAGAGGGCCTTTTAGTTGTAAAAGTTCATAGGATTCAGTGAGCTGAGTTCATGGAGTCACATATTGATTAACTGACACCTTTTCAACTTGGACCCTGCTATTAAACATATACAATTCAAAACATATGTTCACTTAGGGTTCAAATCATGCCTTTAAGGCTTTAAAAATATTTGCAATCAGTTTCTTCTGATCGCTGGAGAGATTTCAGGGAGAATACACCTTGAAGCCCTCTCTTCCAAACACTCTCAGCTGTTCAATATTGTTGAGCAGATGTGTCACTGTTTTTTTTCATTTTGCTGTGATACATGGAGAAACTACTAGTTTTGCCTCAAATCACCTGTCGTTTCAACCAGAGGTGGGACAGAAAAAGTTACAGACACTGTGTTTCAGCTGTCAATGGTTTCTTTGTTCTTTTTCAAATTCTTTCATTTGCTTTTAGCAACTTTTGCTGTTCTAAATAATTTTGGCTTTTCTGTCAGAAACTGTGCTTTTTTTACAGCTCTTCAACACTCAACCTCTCCTCCACATTTCACACTATGTTCCATTTTCACTGGGCAGCGGATTGTTTGCACTGTGTCTTTATTAAAGGTGGCTGTCTCCAATCTGTGTACTTTATGGCAATGGTCACATGACTACCATAAGCTCAGAGGCACATTAGTACAGACTACATTTCTATCTCAAACATACTTAAATTGAAACAGAGATTCCAATGCCTGAATTTCTTACCAAGTGACTAAGCCCTTAATGCTCTCACTGGTCTGAGATCTCAATGTAAACTATTGCTCCAAGATCTCAGCTCTCAGTTGTGAGGTTCCTGGTTTGAAACTTAGTTTTCAGCTTTTTCTGTTTATGTCAGGTATCAGTTTACCCTATTTTATAGGTTTGTTTAAATTGTTATTATTGCGATTGGTTTCATATACATGCCACCACTGATCAGGTCACAGATGAGAAGAGACAGTCATTGATCCCATTAACGTTACACCCCACCCATCCCCTTAACATCATCCTGCCACTATAAGCCACCAATGCAATACTGTTCAATTCCACAAATCATGCCTATCCTGGAAGTTTATGTGTGAATAAGGATTACTACAAACTGCAGATATGAATAAGTAGTTTATAAATCTTCAACCAACAGCCAATTTTATCACTCACTCAACAATTCAATTGTAACACAAAAAAACATTGAACAGAAGCAGAGATTGTACAGACATTGCAGATGTCTGTAGCATGGTGCTGTCTGTAGGAAACATTTGGCTATAGACCGACTGTGGCTGAGCACTAAATCCAGAATAATTAGGGAATATTTTACACTTAAACCAGGAGTTTGTACTTAATTGTTATGTTTGGATTGGGAATTCTATACAATGGGAGTGAACAGGAAGTGTCTGGTCCATTGAAATGCTACCCTGGGAGCAGGTCAATGTTTATCTGGTTTCTGCCATTTTGAAAGCAATAACGTTTAAAGCAATATTTCAAGTTCTGTCTGTAATGTGTTAATATTTAAAGAGTCTTAGTAAAATTGCTGAAAAGGGACATTTGACTTGTAGTGCATAAATGTGACCTAACAACAAGACTTTAATTCATTGTTAACCATTATTAATTAATTACAAACCTACTTCTTAGAAACCTCTGAATTCCCTGAGCATTGGAAGATAATGGAATTGAGGAGAAGAGCGAGAATAAAAAAGCCAAGGCAATCAGTGAAGTTAATGACATGAGCCTGGGGCCAGGAAGCAGCTTCAATGACCCTGGTAGCTGAGCCCCAGTCTGAGGTCAGAGACACAAATCCTTGGATACATCCATCATAAGACCTGGACAGTTAGCCTCCATTCCCAAGGTCAGGCAGTATAGAGAATCTGGAGGTGGGGGTAGGGGTAAAAGTGAAAGGTCATACTATACTTCATCCAGAGAAAGATACTTGTTTGCTTTGAAAATAACAAAAGTGGAAAGTTTTGGAAGGCAGAAATAAAATGATTTGATCAGCTAGGGGATAACATTCTAATGTAATGAAGATTTCACTCACTTTTCTTACACCCAAATTTAAAATGAAATATTGTAATTGATTTTAACACTGAATTTCAAAAGTAGAATTGTAGACTCCCCAATTTTATTTGGTAACAATTTCATAATAAAAGTTGATGGATTGCTGGAAATGAAATTGACCTGTACAAAACTTCAAACACTGAAATACCTTAGACTTCTACAGGTTAATGTGTTAGCAAGAGAAAATCAACTTTAAGTAGAGGTTAACACAAAAGCAATCACATGTATAGGACAGACATATGATCTCTATGAAATATTCCAAATACAGTCATTAACAGGTAATTTGAACACATCTTTTCAGAGGTGATATTTTCACACTTAATCTTTGTGTTGGAGTGTTCATCAGCTATACTAAAGTAGCATTGATATACAATAATTCTGAGGGAGCTAATTCATCAATTTGTTAACAATATAATGACACTCTGCTGTTACATCAATATATCCATCAGTGCATTCCACTAATACCTTGATCAATATATTGACATAATCTAAATATAAATTACTTTTAGTCCTCTTTATCCTGATAGAGTTGCTAAACAGGATCAGCTCTGTTCATGTAATTCGACAATTCTAGAATTATACATTTTATTCCACAGTTTTAATTGTTCTTAATCTCCGTCACTATTATTATGAATGTGGATATATGTCCATGCAGTGAGGAATCCTATGTTTCTGAGGATTTTTAAGTATATAAGGTGTGAAACATTATTATTGTGCAAGAAAAAGAAATGTAAATTTTGGGGTGCATGGTGGCTCAGTGGTTAGCACTGCTGCCTCACAGCACCAGGGACCTGCGTTCGATTCCACCCTCAGGTGACTGTCTGTGTGGAGTTTGCACGTTCTCCCCATGTCTGCATGAGTTTCCTCCAGGTGCTCCAGTTTCCTCCCACAGTCCAAAGGTCTGCAGGCTAGGTGGATTGGCAATGCTAAATTGTCCCTAGTGTTCAGGGATGTGCAAATTAGGGGGCTGGGTTCTGGGTGGGATGCTCTGAGGTTTGCTGTGGACTTGGTGGGCCAAAGGGCCTGTTTCCACACTGTAGGGATTCTATGATTCAGATGTATTGTCAGAGTTGCTCTAGAAATTCAGGAATGAACAAGAAGATGTTTGTCTTTCCTGCTAGAACATTAAACCTGATCTGGTAGGAGGGCAGAAATGAAATTCTGTTTGGAACATTGAAGTGAGCAGAAGAAAAATCCAACATGTTCTTTCAGGGGCTGCTAAAATTTTCCTTTGGGATTCAGCTAAACAAGTTTTGTCATCCAACTGGTAAAGTTTAGCCATGAGAGAACTGAGATCATCATGAAAAAATGAAGTAATGAGATAAAAAGAAAGCTTTTGCATCTTCTCAACTAAATTATATTTCTAGAGCATGAGCAATAATAATGACATTCAAATTAGCTTATTTTTATCCCTCAAACTAAGGAAGGGGTCACACTAAAGCTTGTGTTGGGGAATGAGCTTGGCCGGGTGATCAAAGTTTTAGTGTGGAGGCATTTTAGGAGCAATGATCATAATTCTGTAAGTTTTAACACAGCTATAGTTAAGGTAAGACAGGCCCTCAGGTGAGTTACATTATTTAAGAAACATTTAGACAGGTACATGGATGGGATAGGTATGGGAGGATATGGACCAAACACAGGCAAATGGGACTAGTTTAAATTATGAACACTGGGCAGCATGGGCAAGTTGGGCTGAAGGGCCTGTTTCCATGATGTAAACCTCTATGACTCTGTGAAAGTGCAAAATCGGGGGAAGGCTAATGTCAACAGGATTAGGCAGGAACTGGAGAAATTAAACTGAGGACGGCTGTTTGAGACTAAATCCACATCTGACCTGTGGGAGTTTTTTTCAGGCCAGCTGTGGGCCGAAGGGCCTGTACTGTGCTGTATTGTTCTATGTTCTATGTTCTATGTTCTATGATCAGAGAACAGGACCAGTGTATTCTGTGAAGATGAAAGAAAAGGATGGCAAGATTCAGGTATCTTGGTTGACAAGAAATATTGAAAGTTTAGTCAAAAAGAGAAAGGAAGCATAAGTAAGATTTTGGAAACTGAAATCAAATAAAGCCCTTGGGGAACGATAAGGAAGCAGAAAAGAACTTAAAGAAGAAATTCGGAGGGTTAGAAGGGGCCATGAAATGTCCTTTGCAAGTCGGATTATTGATATGATTTGGTCTATTTATTGTTGCATGTATTTTGTTACAAAATACAATGAAAAGTGTTGTACAGTGTTGCCAGACTCCAACACCATCTAAAAACACAGAAAAATAAACCAAAACATTGAATATAAATGCAGAAAAATAAAGAAATAAAGAAAACATATCTAATTTTATAGTCATTTTTGTTAAGTGCTCCATCATGGGCTATGGGCCCCCTTCACCATGCCATTGTTGGTACGAAAGTTGCTACTATTCAGCGCCATTTAGCCTCCACTGTACCTTGCCACTGTGAATCCTCAATGGGCCTCACCAATGCAGATGCCAAAGATACTGTCCAGCACCGCACTGGCCCAAACTTTAACCAGTCACCATGAGTCTACTTTGGACCTGTCTCCCCAATGCAGCCGCTGCTGATGCCACCAGGTCTCATACTGGGACCAAACTCACCTCCGCTGCAGTTAGCCATAAGCCGGCATGAGGACTGCCTCATTGATGCAGAAGCCACTCACCTCTGACAATGCCACCTTGAGTTCACACTTCTGGGCCCACTCTATCCACACTGCCAGGCCCACTCTATTCTCACTGCCGGGCCCACTCGATCCACACTGCCGGGCCCACTCGATCCACACTGCCGGGCCCACTCGATCCACACTGCTGGGCCCACTGGGGTCTGTGCTACTGGGCCCATTGGGGTTTTTGCTGCCGGGCCCACTGGGGTCTGTGCTACTGGGTCCACTCTGGTCTGTGCTACTGGGCCCACTGGGGTCTGTGCTACTGTGCCCACTGGGGTCTGTGCTGC